AAGACACACCCAGAATTTCACCCCCTTTTTGGGGGTAAAAAGGTGCATGTTATACTCCAAAAAATATGGGTAATATCCTTTTCCTAGTTTCCCCACAACAACCACCCTGTGACTTGGGTTTGGCTGAGAGTGACTGGCCCAAAGTTACCAGCTAGCTTCCTTTATGCATCCAGGAAGATACAAAAAATATATTAGTGATTTTACTACAGTTTTACATCATATAGCGCTGATATAAAAATATGATGTAAAAAATCTGGAGTTGTTTACTGAACACCAGCAGGGCAAAGAGGCAATTAGGGTATGATTCAATATGGAATGTTCACCTGGTGAGTGTTCTGGTCAAATCCCACCTCCCACTAATATCATTCCAATGACATGAGCTCCCTGCAGGCAGCCCTGCATTCATCAGAATTGGCGGGGAGGGGAGAGAACTGATGTTGACGCAGCTGTACACATGTCTACAGATGTCCACATGAAAGCGATGTTGGCAAAGGATCGGAGGGTTATTGTAATCATTACAATAACCCTCCGTAGAGGGCATTAATGTAGAGCATTCTGGATAAAATACTCTTGAAGAGGACTTTCCAGGAAATATGCTTAAATCCCAGCCAGGAAGCCTCTTTGAGTAAACAATGGTCACTCTGGATTATCCTTACACTAAAGGCATTTTTGGAGGGAGAGCTCTGGGTCTTCTCCAATCTCAGCATCAGTGAGGTGTGAAAAGTGGTTACTCAGGGACAGCTTCCCTGACTTTGGAAGGCTATTCCCAGTAAGCAGCACCTGATGACATCCTTAACTGTTGTTTTTGCACCAAGCAATGACATTCTCACAATCTTTTAATAATCTGTCAAATCAGGTGTGAGAGAGTTCTTATTATTCATTGTTCTATTATTCATTGTTATTTAGCAACAGAACCCATAGACTAGCGGCTAAGCCAGTTTGGCTACCATATTTTATTTGGGTGAGGAAATAATCAGGCAGGGAGATGGGCCCCAAGTATCTTACCACTCTTCTTCCTACCAGACAGGTTACTCCCCCATTATTATACTTTTCTCTACCTATAATTTTAATTGAGCCCCTCCCAGCATATAAACTAAACAGCAACATGGATTATAATATAGGCCTCTTCATCTCCAAGTCATTTCTCCCAAAAGCAACCCAATTTTGTGTTTTTCCCTGCAGTTCTGCTAAATGTTCTAAGTCTTGGCTAAATATTTCATATAATCATTTAAAGACCGAAGCCTAGGGCCACATAGAATATACATCCAAGGCTTTTATTAACCAGCCCTAGAAGTAATGCAGGCCGTCAATGATGGTGGAAGAGCAGCCACCATCATTGACAGCCTGCATTACTTCTAGGTAAAGCAGTAAAAGCACTGCAGATGCTGATGCTGATGGTGAAGTTGCTATGCAAGAGAATTCCATAGCATTTCTTGGTGTAGTTCCTATTCTTGCTAAGAGAACAATGGGAAATTTAAACAAGCCTTGCTTTTTTTAATCATACAGCCGCTAAAATAAGTAGGCTAAAAGAAAGTTGCTGGGTAATTTTTGTCCTTGTATAACTGCTTGTGTTTTGTAGTTGCAAAAACTTGTTACAATGCTGCTATTAACTCTTGCATGAATAACATTACAGCATGACAACATAAAACCACATTGCCTCAGATGCCATAAATTAACAAAATCTGCATTCAAATGCACCCCAAGCTTAACATCAGCGTGCAAATGAACATTGAATGAATGAATAAATCAGGTAAGAACTTGTTTCAAATAATAAACTGTAAATATAATATTTGAAGAGAAAAGAAATCTTAGAATGGTTTGACTATTCTTCCTTCTTTAAATATTTGTTATTACTTCAATTTTTAGTCCTCTCTGTCTTAATCACTGGGATGAACAACAACAAAGCAAAATATGCATACTAAAATCTAACTATTTTGTTATGTATAATTCCTTGATATTATTTGATCCTGACACTTGAATGCAAACACAAAGGAAAAAAGTATTTAAGCTCTATGCCTTAGCAGATCTTAAGAGCCAAAGGAATCCCACTTTTCTGATGTTAGTTGAGATTACTTTAATTTATCCTACTGGGAGCTAAAATTGGAATGAATTTTTATTGCTGTTGCTAGCTTTGGTAGCTTCAGAATTGCTTGAAAATTAGTTGCTGCTACAACTACACAGAGTAATATCCAATACTCTGTGTACAGATATACAGGAACTTCTCAATCCTAGTTATCTGGAACTCATATAGGCCATGCAGAGTGGAGCAAAGGAGAAATCTGTTCCCTGGAAAAATGCCATTCTATCAGCAGCATGCTGTAACTGGTAATAATCCCGAATAATGAATAATTTTTAATAAATGTACATTTGACAAATTACCTCTCTTTTTTTTTTGGTACTACTGTAGTTTTTAGGATTGATCATGTTGGAGTTTGAAATTGGATATATTTAATAGTTAAAATATAATTAAGTAGTTTGATTCGGAATATAATACTAAGTCAGTCATTTGTTGGATTTCAACAAGTAGATTTCACTTGTTAGCAAAAACTTTCCTATCTAGAGTAAATTGCAAAGTTCTTTGTATATTTTATTTTACATTTACAAACACAAAAAGGATCAGGGGATCACAGTTTTAATTAAAATTGTAAATTCAAAGGAGTCTATGCAGATGTTCTGAGGGAATTGCTAGTCCATTTTATGAGAAGTAGCCTCATCAAGAAACTGAATTTATTTAATCCTTGCCATTTTCAGTAGGGTTAGTCTAGATCAGGTGTGGCCTGTGGGCCACATACAACCCTTGAAAGTTAGTAATGCAGTCCCACAAGATCGTAAAACATTTAACATTATGTGGTTTATATACATTAACTACATTATATATTTTATATGTGGCCCAACACAATTCCTCTTAACTCAATGTGACTCCAGCAAGCCAAAAGGTTGAACACCCATGGTCTAGGTAATTGCTAGGTTACAGTAGAACTTCCATCTAATGGTTGTCTAGATTTTTAATACTAAGATTTGCAGCTTGAAAGAACCCCAATCAAATGTTATGGAATGTGGAGAGAAGGCTGATGATGTGACTCAGCATGAAAATTAAAATGCACAATAACTACTATTTATTTTGTCAATTTCTGCCATTGCCTTGAAAATCAAAAGAGATCAGATCAACTGTCCATTTTTCCAATCTGAAATTTAGTATATAGACAATGGACTACTTTGTTATAAATGTTATTTCTCATTATTATTGGTTCAGCCAGAGTAACAGAATATTTGCCAACAGTAAAAGAAGTGTAGGTAGGCAGAAGTGTCTGATAGCTGCATATTTCTCATATATTATGGGGATTTTCAAGCCTTTAATTTTTCCACGGTCATGAGAAATATGTGTATATAGTAATGTTTGCCCAATCAGAAGGCAATAATTTAAAAATAACACCACAATGAAGTCACGGTTTACTTTTGTAACTAATTTTCTCTACTATATGAGAAACTATATGCTTTTACTGTACTGTCTTTAGCGGAGTGTAATATGAACCTTAAAGCAAAGAACAAAATGGAAAATATTAATAAATAATGATGTTTTGAAAAGCAAGTTGCTGAACAGCTACTGTATTCTTTGATATAAAGGAGGGATGTCTGCACTGTATATGGAATATAAAAACAATATGGCTAAAGAGATACATACAATACAAGAAGAATCTCTGCTATCCCCAATCCAAAGATCTTTAATAGAAATTTTCTGTTTTGGTGATTTAAGATTGCTACCTAAGCAAGTAGGACCTACCTGTCCTACTTGCTTTTTTGCAGGAATATATTTAGGAACAAAGTAATACTCTAACTCCTTCCTTGATTATTTTTGAAATTAATACCATCCCATTTACTGTTTTAATAATAGATATTACGCTTTTCTAGTGTTGGACACCACACTTTTCAATGTAGAACTTTTGTTTATTCAGTGCCGGTGCATAGTTGCTTAGACAGGAATACCAAGAGTTGAAGAAGTATTTAAAAATATTCAAGGCAGAGGGAATTTTAATAAGCCCAGCGAAGACCAAGCAGGCTCACTGGTTCCAAAATGCAGCTCACAATTGGAACAGAAAAAAACGAAAAACAGATAAAGGAATTGATAGAATGGTTTTAGAAGGCAACATGACTGGCTGGCACTTGAAGAGGAGCAATTTTGTTACAGATCTCCCTCTCTCGCTTGGGAAAGAAAAGTAGAAATCAACTGTCTTTCTTTTAACTTATTTATTCAAGTCACGACAAAGATTACAGTTAACATTGATACGGTAATAAAATGATTGTATGTATACGCGTACTGCCAACGAGAGGTCCTCAGATAAAGTCAACTTAGTTTATGCATTCTTTTTAAAATGCATATGCTCCCCACATGTATCCCATAAATTACTCCAGGATGCGTTCTCCTACCCCAGTTTAAGCAGCGGCTGTAAATTTGGATGTTCTATAAATTAAACTAGAATTAAGTACTCCTTTTTAAATAACCCCAATCTTGCACCTCAACCTCAGATTTCTAAACATTTATAACAGAAATTAGTATGTATGTAGAGATGATCCACTAACGGGATCTAAACTACGGCCACGTAGGTTAGTGTCAAAGCTTAAGTTTTCTGAGTTCGAAGACTACGACTTCCTTCCGAATGATCGACCAGCCGCAGTTACTTATTTCCCCGATCCGAAAGCTTGCAACTTTCTTCAAACGGATGCCCTTTTTGCCCAATTATGACTCGATTCGGTATAAACAACCCGCCTCTTCAGAATTCTCAAAGCCAATAGAAAAACAGCTCTGAGGCAAGACGAACGAACCCATCGTTTATTTTCCTCGCTTTTCATCCCACCCTGCTGCAAGGAGAGCTTGGGTTCCCCCGCCCTCTCTCAGTCCCTGCCTGGTGGAATGATTGACATAACCCTGCGGCCAATGGGCGCGCTTGCTTGGGGTGGACTCCGATCCCTTGCCAATGGCGTGCTCTGAGCCGTGGGTTTGGTTGCGCCGCTGGGCGAAGTTGCTGTGAGGCGCGCACCTCTGGCTGCAGGAAGGTAGTGACTGTGGAATGCGAACTGGTGCTGGGACCTTCGGACGATCAGTGGCGCTGCCACCGCCTTCTGGCTGGCGGCTTTGAGAAGGGAGCCTTGGGCTTGGATTGAGGCTCCCGGATCTGCAGTGTTGATCCCCGGGTAACTGGAATGGATCTGCGGCTGCTGCAGCTGTAATAGGCAGAGCTAGTATTGGATGGCGTGTGTGACAGCAGCAGATCCAGCCTTACTAGGATTAAATGTGCGTGGAGCTGGAGGAAGGTAAGAACGAGAAAAGGCGGCGGCGGCGGCGAGACGTCTGAATGGCTGCTTGGTGATTTCACCTTGTTTTCTCTGCCCTAATGATTCCCAGATTTTGGGGGTATGTCTTGTGCAGCTCTCAACACTCCCCTCCCCTCCTTCTCTGTCCCCAGATCAAAAGGCTTTGGTGCTCTGAACCAGTCCAGAGCCAGTGCTGAGTGTGAGGGGCAGGGAATGAGTAACAGACCATTGGAAGAAAAAGGGAAAAGGTGTCTGTGTTGGCGAACAAGCCAGACAGGCGGAAACAATGAAAGCCAAGTCTCTTAAGAGAGTAAGGGAATGCTCTGGCAACAAGAAGAAACCTTTGGAGGAAGAACTGTGCCTCCTCTAGTGCATCTCTTTTCCACTTTCACTGGTGCCATCATTATCCCTTTCTCTCCACCCATTGCTCACTATTTCTTCAGCCAGAAGGCACGAAAATAAAATAATAATAAAAATTGTTCTTCTCTCCCCCTCCCAACTCTCTATGTTCTTGGCTGGAAAGAAAGCATTGTGGAATAAGAATTGTACCCTACAAAATGAAAAGGGTAATTACTCTCCTAAGCAGCTGAAACTCAGCAAACACCCTTACATCTACCTTCTTGTACACACATCCAATATAAACACTGCAAGAGCATCCTTGCCCTCTTATTTCTCCATTATGTACAAATTCCCCTAGGAAGAAAGGCTGGGGAGGAGACAACTGTTACACCTTTTTGTCATCAGCATGGAGACAAAGAACTTCTCACATCTCCCTTTGGGTGTTCTGCTGGCAGTGCCTTAACCCAGCAGTGCTTCCCAAAGATGCTAGAGAGTGGTCCTGACCTGCTTCTTTAAATATCGATTCCTGTGTGTTTGTGTGTGTGTGAGAGAGAGAGGGGAGGGTGGGGGAGAGAAAAAGAGAGAGGGAATATAATGCTGTTTTGGAAGATGAGAATGCTGATAAAAAAAAACTGATTGGTTTATTTCCAGACTGACTCGTGGCTAACATTCTTGAAATTGCTTCTGCATTTTTTCCTTCTTTCAGGGTTTGGAAAGGGAGGGGTGTGTTTGCAATGCGAAGGGCATAAAACATTGCTTATAGAACTGCAATTCTGTTTTATTTTCTAGTTTCATGATCTGAAACTCATTGGAACCTATGAAGAGACATGACGACTTCATAAGGGACTTTTCTACAGTTTCTTTCTTTCTTGTTCCAAATCATGATGCCCCCAGCCAATAATGTGCCATTCACTTAAGACAGGATTTATCCTGGGAAAGGGATATCCAAACCATGAATCCTGAGCATCTTTTCAGCCTCTTACGTGTCCGTTAATTTTGTTAGACTTCTGGGCACATTGTTCAGCATTAACAGTTATACTGCCTTGCTCAGCTTGAGCCTTCCTATTCCTGTTGAGCCTTCAAGTGTGCTGATTCTTCTGCAGCATGGCTTCAGTATGGAAAAGACTGCAACGTGTTGGGAAACATGCATCCAAGTTCCAGTTTGTGGCCTCTTATCAGGAACTGATGGTTGAATGCACCAAGAAATGGTAAGGAGTATCTTCAGTTGAAATGAGCTGCTGATGCCTGAGCATCACTGTTGCCTCTTCTGCTGATGATTGTATCATTTCCTCTCCAGTGGGACAATAGGCAATTGGAGAATAATTACTCCTCTTTTGTTAGGTTTGCTGATAGAGAATCATCATATCAAGTACCCATTAGCTTTGTGCATTTTTCTCGCAATGCTGTAAGTTTTCTTTGTTTTAATATGTTATCACAACAGGCTCTTGGCAGCTCCACAAACTAGATAGCTAGTATCTGCCAGAGGCTAAGAATGCAATTTTTCACACTCTGTGTATTTCTGACTTTGGCTAAAACATATTTCTTTTACCATTCCAGTGACGAAGAGAAAAAGTCAAGACCTGGCCTTGAGAATTCTCTTAAGTCATTTCCTTAGTCAGACAAGGATTCCAGCAATCTTCACCTAATAAATACATTTTAAGTTGGTTGGCTTGTCCTGAGTAATCAACTGCATGACCCTAGTGTCAGATGCCTGGTTTCATTCTTGACAAGTGGGCTTTCAGTGCGTCTTCTGCTTTTCTTCACAAGAAAAACTGAATCTTGTAACTGAATCAGTTTTTTTTTAAAAAAAAATATCAATCTCTTGGACAAACTTTATATCTGTGTGCTCTACTCTCCCTTTCTTTAGTGAGCAAATTTTTGACTCTTCTTCAGAATAGATCCTATATATAATGAACTGGATTGATTTGTTTTTAGTTTCTGGCTCTACAGTTTACTACATAGGCAGGATTCTTAATTATTGTATTTCTGTGGCATTTTAAATTGTTCGATATAACTTCTGCATGAATTATGTTACATTTATACCAACCTGACAGTATTATTATTCCAGTGTTACAGATTATTATTAGATTTTAACTGGTTTTTTAATGGGATGTTTTGAATCTAAAAACTAATGGCTTATCTGACCTTCCCCCAATACAGTTTTGAAGGGTCCTGAGCTTGAATTATTTGTAGCCTGATCTGATTTGAGGAAAAGCTAGCTAACTATATAATATACTGTAATCATGGACAAATGTATTTTCTCAGATTAGAATATGAATACAGAGCATTTTACTGTTATACATGTTTAAGGTATGAGGGATAGATCATGAATTTCTTATATAATGCAGTTCACAAAAACTTCATCGAAGACCACCATCTGACACTGATTCTTCAGTGAGCTTTTACACTTTAACAAGTTCCCAAGAATTCCACGGGTAAAGTTTTAGCTATTTTGTAGGTATTAAGCAGGGGTGGGCTTCAAAAATTTTAGCAAGGGGTTCTCTGCCCCGTTGCTGGGTGGGCGTGGCCATGGTGGGTGTGACCTAGTTGGCCTCCTGCACCATGGTGGGGGGGGGGCATTTTTGCCCTCCTGGCCCTAGAGGTTTTCCTTGAGCCTCCAGGAGGGTGAAAACGGCCTCCTCAGGCTCTGGAGGCCCTCTGGAGGCCGGAAACAGGCCCCTTCCCGAAAATCTGGTAGGCTCATTTTTCGCCCTCCCCGAGCCTCCGCGTGTGCCCTGCACTTACCTGCATCCAAAACGGGCTGAGGGGGGACTCCTGGGAGGGGCAGGGAGGGGCGGGAGGGGCCAGCCAGGAGTGAGATTTGAGGGTTCTCCGAACTGCACAGAATCTTAGCTAGAGTTTCTCCTGAACCCCTGCGAACCCCCAGCAGCCCACCCCTGGTATTAAGCCATGGAGGAAATGTCAAACTAACTAAAAAAATGTCAGATAACTTGCTTTTTGCTATATACTGTGAATATGTGTTCTTTTCTACAAAATTCCTCCCCTTTTTCCCACTTGAATAAGTTACTATAGTATGAATTATCAGAACTGTTCTCAAACATCCTGTTTGTTCCACTTTGTGAGAAAAGGAAGTTTCTTCTACTGTACAAAGCAAGGTGCTGACCAGTTCTGTACAGAAAATAGTTCTCTTATTAATTAAAATATATGGGCTGGGGGTAAGGATGCAGCTTTCTTTTTTTTAGAGTTGAGTACCAAGCCTTATCTCAAAAGTTTTTCCCAAACAGACTTACAACTAAGATCCAGTTAAAGAGTTTGGGACCTGAATTTTGCATTGTAATTTTTGGTACAGTAGTTTAAAATCCTTAACTGTTTCATAACATTTCTCTGATAAGCCCATGTGGATATTATACTATTTTTTTGTTAGAAATGCAGCCCACTGTTTCGGACCACATGATTAAGCCTGTGGTACTATGGCTGCAGCAAATATTGTGTCTCAAGTTTATTATGAGGCTGACAAGCCCCACTGAAGTCAATTTTAGCATACATATACATTTCCTACAATGATAAATTCTCATTGTGCCTGGTGAAACAATACAGATGATGTCCTGTTTTACTGTGACAAATCTCATCCAAGAGCAGTTTGGCTGTTGTATGAGTGTCTTTTTTCAGCACATGCATTAAATGTAAGATTTTTCTGCAGCATTAGTGGCTTTATAGAAACCCCTGTAGAAAATGTTCAGTCTGGTCCTACTTGAATATCTAAGTCCATTGATATAAATGGTTTTAGGTATGCTTAGCTCTTTGTAGGATTAGGTTGATAACATAAACATTATCTTGAATTTCCTCAGCTCTGTAAGAATTGGAAGTAGTATAATTAAAAACTTCCATATGCATTAAAGTCAAAATGGTAACCAATTGCTTTTCATAAAGGATGGTTCTCTGCTAAACTGTGGATGATCATATTTTGGTTACAAATAACTACTTTCCTTGTGGTGTGTTGGTGTTTATTTTGGTTTATGGAATACAGCTTAGACTTCGTAACTTACCATAACTACTGCCTTAATTGGTATAATAAAGGAAACAAACCTGGCTTACCTTTCAAAAAACGTGAGAAATAAAATAGTGTCAAATAGAGTAACAACTAGGAAGTATGCCCTTGGACAATATTGTAAGTATACTTCTGATTACAAAAAAATCTGGCTAACATGTTCCTATTTAAATGTGCTAGTGTTCTAACATTCCAACAATACAGTGCCTTTTTGGAGGAATAATAGGCCTTTTATAAGTCAACATTGCCAACAATAGTCTTAAAGTACTCTTGGGAGGGAAATGGATTCTGAGAAAAGCTTATTCAGAAGAGCTAATGCACATAGATGAGTGGAAACAAATGGAGCATCGCTATCAGGAATGAAACTTGATATTAAATGTCCTGAAATTTGACATGTCTGTTTGGAAAAGGCAATTTTATTCCTGAAAGAAATGCTCCATTTTTTTTTGAATTGCCCTTTTGAATATTGTTACAAAAATGAAGAGTTATAGCACTGATCGCAGCCTATATCACGGGTATCAAACTTGATCGTGTCACGTGATGTATCGTGACATATCGTGACATTTTTTTGCCTTTGTGGAGGGTGGGTGTGGCCTGTGTGTGACGCATCAAGCCCATGAGCTGCCAGTTTGACCGGCCTGGCCTATATGGTGTTAATAGGAAGCTGCTGTTGCTCTGTTTTACTTCTTTACTATTTTTCCTCTCCAAGCAGATAAGCTCTTGGCAGAGCTTCACCTGTCTATCAAAAGGGAGGAATTTTCTCTCCTCCTTTTCGGCTTCTATTTTAGAGCTTTCTAAAATGCTTTCTTTTGGTAACTATTAAAAACAGCTGAAATAGGGTGAAGGTTGACCTTTATTTGCTTTTTTAATGGATATATTGTCAGCTGCAGGTTATTATACCACTATGTTTTATAACTGGAATATAATAGCTTTCCTTTATCGAGGCTTAACCTGCAGGAGTTAGTAAAACTTATGAAAAGAGTTTCCTCAAAGTTCTTGAAAGTCACTTTTTGGTTAGAGGTGAGTTATTTCCAAACCACTGGGCCACATGAAGTAGTTGTCCTTCCCCTGCTCACAGGCATACCCATCCCAGCAAAGTGCTGGTGGCATGTTTCAGGGGGATTTCTCACTCCTAGCCTTCCCCAAAGAGTAAACCTGAGAGGTAGATGAAATGACCTGCCGATAAGTCTATCTTCTCCAGAAACTCAACCCCACATTCAGTAACTTTGCTGCAGCAGCTTCACAGACTCAACTAAATTGCTTTGTTGCAGAAAAGAAAAAAGTTAAGAAAGAAATTATTAACAAGAGCTGCCAATAGCTAAACACAGGCATCATTTTCAAATTGTTTTATTTCCACCAAAATCACTAATTTGATACTAACTATTTTTATCCTTTTTTGTTACCTCTTTTGCACCTGTATTTTCTCTTTCACTTTCCACTAAGAATTACCAAGCGTAACTCCACATGCTTCTTTGGCATTTTGAAACATTGTTTTTCAATCAGTTCCAGCTAGCTTCTACATCCTTCTTATCTCCCTTTTTTATTTATTTTGTAGGAATATTAATCTTGCTCCATTATGTCCATGCTATTTTCACTACAGTTTCTTTCACTTCTTTCTTTTTTTTCTATGCCCATTTTTTTTCTGAAGTTGCAGCTCATCTTCTAGCAGAAGAGGACAACTGCCGACTCCCACTATTTATGATGGCTGGAATTCCCCCTACTGAAATTTCAAGCCGGCTTCAAATGATATACATAAATTGAAATGAACTCCGATTTTAAAAATTTTATTGAGATCTGCAGATAGATGCTTTTGCATTTTTGTTTGCATGATTGATCCTCTCATTAGGCAAAGTAAAAATCTTAAATTATCGATGCCTGGAAGCAGGTGGGGATAAATGAGTTGTTAAAAAACCATCTACTGGTAGGTATACAAGTGTATATATACTTGTGTATACCATTAAGTTTTTCTGTATCCCTTAAGATAGTCTGTTACCTTTTGGTCATGTTGAGGGTGTTCCATTATTGGCGTTGGAATCCACCACCTTGGCATATGGCATAATGAGAAGCAGTGTTGCTTGCCTCAAGCTGTAGAATATCAAAAGCTGATCATGATTCATACCTGTGCTACAATTTGTATGTTCATTTGATCTAAACTTCTTGCAAAAAACATTTAGATTACTTAATAAGCTGCATTTTACT